CATAATTTAAATTTAGCCTTTTTTAAAAATATATATTTTTGTTTTGCATGTTTGGTTCAGGCCCTCTCCTGTTGGTTAACAGACAGGATGTAGCAGGATCCATGTGCAGATCTACCATGCATGCTTGTTCTGCCTCAGTTTAGCTTAAAGTTTAAAGTTGAGTTTAAAACAGAGGCACAGCTAATGTTTTCCTCCTTGCTTRTTGGAACAAAGCTTGATAAATTAATATAAAAGGTAATTTAAAAGATAAAAATGAGGTAAATTTCTCTTTTTAAAATGAATTTGTGATTTTAAGTGTATTTATTTTTTATTAATTGGTCGATGTATAAATTTGTGCTTTTATTTCTAATTATGTCAGTTTCAGTCCTCCATAGTTTCATGTTGTCAGTGTGTTAAAGATGACTGTAAATGAAAATTGTTGTTGCACTTGAACATATTTTGGGCAAGTTAATTTTTATTTAATTGTCATCAGTGCATTGCATATTTTCCTAATAAACTTCAAAGGAATATTCATGCTATATATTTTTACTTGTGCTTCTCTGGGTTATATTAGATTTTAAGTGTGATTTTATATTTTTCATTCTAAGGCATTTATCCATAATATATTCATACTGTTAACAATGAAGGAATTTCAGTACAAATGTGTGAATATGAGATAAAACTAGCCTGGAATGAGACTCGCAAGTTCACAAAGAAATCTCTGTTTCTTTTTTAAGAGACAAAGATGAGAAATAAATGTGGAGACAAATTTGAGGAACCTTAGAGAAAAGTGTGATCTTCACAGCGGTCTAATATAATCTTTAGTTCCTTGTTGCTCAGGAGAAACTGGAGAGAAAATGAAGAAATTAGCGATAGATTGATATTTGTCTTACACAAAGCTCACAAGTGTCTCAGAAATAGAAAGGAAACTTTTGTGAGATCTCTTTTAGGACTAGTTTTTCCTCTGGGGAAAAAATATTATACTAAGTATATATTCTAAATTCTATATATTCTATGTATTCTAAGTATACTTTTTTTTGTGGTCTGGGCTGCCCCTACTGCTGGTTTATCTGGGGGCCCGCTGCTGCTCGGCCCCCCGGTGGGGTGTGCGGCTGGCCGCCGGCGTGCTGGGGGTTCCCGGGGTCTGGGGCCGGGCGCTGGGGTGTGTGCCGGCCTGGCCTGGTGACTGCCTGTTGGGGCTCGGGGCCTCTGGCCCTGTAGGGCTTTGACCTGGAGGGGGTGCGCCCTGGGGGCCCTGACCTCTGTGCCCTTTCCTGGATCTGCTCTGGTATGGCGGGTGCCGGTGGGGCCCATGAGTTTGTCGCTGCTGGCCCCGGGGGCTGTGCGTGTGGTCGCTGAGGGGAATCACCCAGTTCTCCCCTATGGTCTGATCTGGGGGGTTGGTGGGCGGATCTTCCTGTGCGGGTGCCCCTTGTGGCTCTGCGTTCGGCATCCCTCTCAGGCCCT